AGAACCACTGGGCCAATTTCAACCAAACTTGGTACAAAGTATCCTTGGATGAAGGGGATTCAAGTTTGTTCAAATGAAGGGCCACGCCCTTTTCCAAGGGGAGATAATCATGAATTTGTTAAAAATTAATGGCATTTTTAAAAAATCTTCTTCTCCAGAACCGCTGGGCCAGGAAAGATGAAACTCATGTGGAATCATCCTCAGGTAGTGTAGATTCAAGTTTGTTCAAATCATGACCCCCGGGGCTAGGGTGGGGCCAAAATGGCCGACCCAAGTTTTACATAGGAATATATAGGAAAAATCTTTAAAAATCTTCTTCTGCAGAACCGCTGGGCCAGGAAAGATGAAACTCATGTAGAATCATCCTCAGGTAGAGTAGATTCAAGTTTGTTCAAATCATGACCCCCGGGGCTTGGGTGGGGCCAAAATGGCCGACCCAAGTTTTACATAGGAATATATAGGAAAAATCTTTAAAATCTTCTTCTCCAGAACCACTGGGCCAGGAAAGATGAAACTCATGTGGAATCATCCTCAGGTAGTGTAGATTCAAGTTTGTTCAAATCATGACCCCCGGGGCTTGGGTGGGGCCAAAATGGCCGACCCAAGTTTTACATAGGAATATATAGGGAAACCTTTTAAAATCTTCTTTTCAAATACTTCAAAGCTATGATTAGTGATATTTATATGGAATCATCCTCAGGTAGTGTAGATTCAAGTTTGTTCAAATGATGAATGCCTGGAGGGGGGGGGGGGTTAGTAAATTCAAGCCCGATGTGCTCAGGTGAGCGCTGTGGCCCCTGGGCCTCTTGTTAATTTTCTTTTCAAAAAGTGGAAAAATATATTTCATTACTTTGAACAAAATCAGTGTATTGAAACAGAATGGGAAATTAAATCTTTAAAACTTCCAGTCAGTTGGTATATTACTGATATTAGTCCCACCTTTCATAGCAATAAACGATGTATTTATTTCTTGGGATTACAAGTTTTAAAAGTAGTTATACAGAAATTAGACTTGTATTCTTGATTATAGTAATGTTTACATGTTGTCTAGTCTTAAAATGTTTTCCTTTGTATATTAAAACCTCGAAATATTGTCTGTTTCCAGTTATTAGTCTTACCCTATTTTTAATCATGGTGGTAAAAATAAATGGCAGTGATTCCTTCAATGTTTTAGACATTTATCACTACTTTTATGCTCTTTGCACTTGGATTTGGTAATAAAATTAAAGTATGTCAATTTTATTTTTTTGTCAGCGATGTCGGCAACATTTATTTTTTACTCTGAGACATCGGACATTCCGGTCCGATGTAAGAAAATGACACATCAGACCAGAGGCACTGCACATAGGTCAGGTCCGATGGTTCAATGTCTTTCGCATAGACTGGATTATTATTCTGTTTAATGCTTTTGAAAAGTTTATGTCCCAAATGCGACTTTTCTCTTCCTTTATTATAAGTACAAACCAGTAGAGCTACAGTCTCGACAGAGACTTCTGGTTTTATAGGTAGATTAGGGGGGACCTATGTCGCTCTACGTCAGAGTAGCGTTATGTGACGTCACAATAGCGACATTTGTTTTTTTACCTGTTGACTTTTGCAATAATGATAAAGAAATAACATTTTTTATTAATCAATAACATACACAATTTACAAAAAAAAACAAGATGTGTTTGTGAAACACTATGCGCCCGGTGCAACAAAGTTAAAAAACATATTTTTAGCATATAGGTCACAGTCAAGGTCACAAGGTCATTGATCTTGGTGTCATTTGAAAGAACTTAATTAGTGGAGTATGCATACCAAATATGAAGTCTCAACCATTCATGGTTCTAAAGTTATAGCGAAGGTTAAAGTTTGCAGACAAACAGATAAACAGACAAACAGACAGACAGACAGACAGGACAAAAACAATATGCGATCTTCGATCCGGGCGCATAAAAAAAAAAATAATTCATCATTAATTACAGTCTTATTTGATTTATAGAGTTTGTTAATATTAGAATTCTCTTCCTTTGGTAGATAATTCATAGCATTATAAGTTGTGAAGAAATACGCCCATGATAATATGCTGATATATTAAATGAAAAAGATTTAAGATAAAATTTAGCAAAGAAAGCAGCTTAAATCAGGGAAATATGTTTAATTTAATGTTAACTTTACCATTAATTGTATTTTCTGGATAAAACTAAGAAATGTGCTTGTACGTATATTTGCTTATTGATTTGTAGTGCATGCAGATTTTATTGTATAAAGTCATTCCTAGATTCTAATAGGTGTTGGTTGTTAATGGGGAAATGGGGGTAGGGGGGGGGCAGAATGATTAGAATGAAGAAGAAAAGAATTAATCTGTTTAAATGGTTTCTAAATCAAAACAAAATACTCGTTTTTCGCAAAAATAATTTTATATTCAGATGTTTGTCAGTATTTACTTACCTTTATTTTAGTGCAGAAAGGTAAAAAATTATGAAGCAGTATTACGAAAATAAAAGAAAATGTCTTTTTTCTCGTTTATTTTGTCATGAAGGTATACTTTTTAGGTCACCTGAGTAAACTCAGGTGACCTATTGCCATCTGTTTTCGTCTGTTGTCGTGCGTCGTTCGTCGTGCGTCGTGTGTTAACATTTAAACATTTTCAGCTTCTTCTCTGCAACCACTGAACCAATTTCAACCAAATTTGGCACAAAGCATTTATGGTTGAAGGGGAATAAAAATTGTGAATTTCATGACCTCTGCCCCCCTGGGGCCTGGGGGGTGGGGCTAAAACCACTTAAATTAATGGAATCTTTAAAAATCTTCTTCTTTACTCCTGGACATCAAGCAGTCAAACTGTTTGCATGATTGTATTAAGAATTGAGTCCTCTACCAAAACTGTGAAATTCATGGCCCTGGGGTCAGGGGTTCTTGTGCTAGGTTGGGGCTAAAAAGGTATATAGTGAAAATGCATTATTTCTTTGAAAATCTTCTTCTCTGCTCCTGGGTATTAAATAAACTAATTAAGTACATAGTTATGATGAGCAAGAGTGCCTCTACCAAAATTGAGAATTTTATGGCCCCAGGGTCAGGGGTTCTGGTGTTAGGGCGGGGCTCTATTGATTATATAGAGAAAATACATGAATTCTTTGAAAATCTTTTTCTTTGCTCCTGGGTATTAAATAAACTAACTAAGTACATAGTTATGATGAGCAAGAGTGCCTCTACCAAAATTTTGAATTTTATGGCCCCATGGTCAGGGGTTCTTGTGTTAGGGTGGGGCTCTATTGATTATATAGAGAAAATACATGAATTCTTTGAAAATCTTCTTCTTTGCTCCTGGGTATTAAATAAACTAACTAAGTACACAGTTATGATAAGCAAGAGTGCCTCTACCAAAATTGTGAATTTTTTGGCCCAAAAGTCAGGGGTTCTTGTGTTAGGGTGGGACTCTATTGATTATATAGAGAAAATACATGAATTCTTTGAAAATCTTCTTCTTTGCTCCTGGGTATTAAATAAACTAATAAGTACATAGTCAGGATGAGCAAGAGTGCCTCTACCAAAATTGTGAATTTTTTGGCCCCAAGGTCAAGGGTTCTTGTGTTAGGACGGGGCTCTATTGATTATATAGAGAAAATACATGAATTCTTTGAAAATCTTCTTCTTTGCTACTGGGTATTAAATAAACTAAGTACATAGTTATGATGAGCAAGAGTGCCTCTACCAAAATTGGGAATTTTATGGCCCCAAGGTCAGGGGTTCTTGTGTTAGGACGGGGCTCTATTGATTATATAGAAAAAATACATGAATTCTTTGAAAATCTTCTTCTATGCTCCTGGGTATTAAATAAATTAACTAAGTACATAGTTATGATGAGCAAGAGTGCCTCTACCAAAATTGTGAATTTTATGGCCCCAGGGTCAGGGGTTCTTGTGTTAGGGCGAGGCTCTAATGATTATTTTTGTGAAAATGCATGAATTCTTTGAAAATCTTCTTCTCTGCTCCTAGATTTTATATAAGCTAACTAAGTACATAGTTATGATGAGCAAGAGTGCCTCTACCAAAATTGTGAATATTATGGCCCCAGGGTCAGGAGTTCTGGTGTTGGGGGGGGGGGGTATATTGATTATACATGTATAGTGAAAAAAAAACATTAAATCTTTGAATATTTTCTTCTTTTCACCTAGGTTTTAAGCAGATGAACTACATATTTAGTTATGAGCAAGGGCCCTAATCTTCAAGAATTGTAAATTTTAAGGCCCCACGGTCAGTTGTACCATTGAGGGGGGGGAGGGTGGGGGCTGTACTTATATACTGAAAATGAATGAATTGTTTGAAATGTGCTCCTTTGTATTAATCAAATATTTTTAAAAGGCATGAATGCCTTTCCAAAAATTGTACAATGTGTGGATCTAGGCCTAAGAGTCCAGGGTTCATGTGTGGTAGTGGCACTACTCATTATTGCTGAATATTACTGATTTGTTGAGATGCATTTTTTGTTCCCCTACCCTGCCTATGGTTATTAAGTAACCAAACTAAGGAACTGCTAAGTGTATAGTTATGATGACCAAATTGTAAATGCTATAGCATCTGGCTTAAAACATGGATCAAATTCAATCACTCGAAAGTTGTTGAATAATGCTCAGGTGACCTATAAGGCCCATGGGCCTCTTGTTTTCTTTGTTAAAATAAAGAGATGAATCGTTTCTTTCAAAATATACGAATTAATTTACGACATTTTCACAAAGACTTTTTAAGATATTACCTGTTATGCATGTTGGAATTGTAAAAAATACGACAAGAAAAACTGGGTGATACTTAGTATATTGTGTGCCTTTATAATTTTTCATGTGGAATAGATTTCAATGAATTTGCCTTCATTTTAAAGATAAGAGTCATATAAATTGAATGCATGTTGATTTCGAATGTGATTTGACATTTTTTGTTCTTTTTAGCGCATATTTGGAGTAGAACAAGAATTTCTGAAAATAATCTATTTTTAGTATTTTACACTTTTTTTTGCACAGAAAATGCTGTTCAAAGTGAACCAGAGAAGAGGGAGCATGGTGTCACAGAGACTTGTTTCAATATTGAACCAGAGGAGAGAGAGCATGGTGTCACAGAGACTGGTGTTCTAAGTGAACCAGAGGAGAGAGAGTATGGTGTCACAGAGACTTGTGTTAATAGTGAACCAGAGGAGAGGGAGCATGGTGTCATAGAGACTGGTGTTCTAAGTGAACCAGAGAAGAGAGAGTATGGTGTCATAGAAACTGATTTTCAAAGTGAACCAGAGGAGAGGGAGCATGGTGTCACAGAGACTGGTGTTCTAAGTGAACCAGAGGAGAGAGAGCATGGTGTCACAGAGACTTGTGTTAATAGCGAACTAGAGAAGAGGGAGCATGGTGTAAAAAAAAGGTATTTAGACAAAACAAAAAGGAAAAACTGTTCAGTGCTTAGACCTCCTTATATTGCCAACTTTTGTCCAAGACAGATTTTGGCATTAAAGGGAGGGTGGCAATAAAACAAGTTCTGCCATAAATCTTAATGCAATGAGCCAGCTCAAGATTTGTTAGTTTTAGAGTTACACTTTTGATAATGTCATGTTTTTGCACATGTGTACATACATGTATATATATGGAAAAATGACTCAGTAACTTCCTCTAAATTTCACATTTGTTTTCTCTAAACTATTCAACACTATCGAGTTATTTATCTTACTTAAAAAAATTCCCTATTTTGGGCCCAAAAGAAACATTTACCAATGATTCAAATATCCAACTTGCTGTAGAATATTTTAAAATCCAAAGTAAATTAGAGATAATCGAATAGTGTTTTGAATACTTTTGACCTGTAAGCTGACGAAAACGACAGAATTTTGATAGAAAATTGAGGATTTGTTATTACATATTACAAGATGATGGTTTGTTGAGGAGAAGCATTGAATTCATATGGAGTTTCATTCGGACAATACTTGTAGTAGTGCTTAATTAATGGATAAAGAGATTAGCGGTGTTATGCTGAACCTGCTTTAAAAACATTCCATATCAAGTTCTGCAATAAAATTGGTGTTGAGAAATAGGTGGGTGTTAATTAAGTTGTTTTGGGAGGTATGCCTGAAAAGTATGAAAAAGAGATGAATCTCAGATAATCTGAAGGGATTTACAGATAACGGACCCTGAAATAATATTCAGCAATATGAAGTGATGTTGCTTAAGATTCAAGATTAAAATGTATTTAATATGTCAAAAAGTGATGCTTTCATTATTTAAGACCAATAACATTTCTAAAAGTGTGCAAAATTCGTAGGAATTGCTATTTTTTGTGAGCATTGGAAGTACATTTGAAGCACGATAAATGTGAAATAATTAAAGAAATTCCATGTGCACTGGAAATTAAATCTAATAGTGTTGCAAATTTGGAGTAATTATTATTTTTAATGGGCATTGGAAATTTATTTTAAAACTGTTTTATCTCTTTTGTTCATTGTTTTATGAACCGATAGGCTTTTGGATATTTGAATATTCAAATGATAGTCAGTTGAATCTTAAAAATATCCAACCAATGCTGATTGAATCAGTAAAATATACGTAGACTAACAACAATGGGTGACATCTTGGAAGTTTTTTAATTACCTATCTTACACAAGTTTAGACCACTAGATTTTCTGACGTCAACACAAATTTGCATGTCAATTAGCTATCTGTTTACTTTACCCACTGATGAATGAGTCACAAACAAATGCATTGTACTCAGCTGAGTTGAAAATAAATACCAACTTGAATTGTCCATTGGAAGCTTATTTTCAATTCTTTTTTGAGACACATGAAAGAAATATTCTAAATGTATAATCTTTCATTTCTATGCTTGCTAACATTTACAAAATTTGTTTAATAAACCCTTATATCACCTTATAATACATCGGCTTAAACCACTGTTCAAAGAGACGTAGGTGCTATCATGTCAATAAAGTATTTGGTGTTTTTACTCACCTGAGCTGAAAGCTCAAGTGAGCCTTTATGATCACATTTTGTCCGGCGTCTGTCTGTAAATTTTTCACATTTTCATCTTCTTCTGAAGAACCACTGGGCCAATTTCAACTAAACTTGCTACAAAGTATCCTTGGGTAAAGGAAATTCAAATTTGTTCAAAAGAAGGGCCACACCCTGTTCCAAGATATTTGACACTTAGTACCTTATTTGTACCTCTGGATGGAAGTAGAATTCATAGTATGTGTATAAAAAAGCCTGGCGCAGGTGATTAATCAGGATTTAATATTTGAGATCTTTTGTGGAAATGTGTAAAAGCCCATACCGAAAAAAGTTATAACTAAGTTATAATTAAAGTATAACTTAGTTATACCTAGGCTCTGAGGTACAAAAAAGTTATAACTAAAATGTAACTTTTCTGGACTTTGTCATTTTCATGTATAATTAAAATGTAACTTTTCTGAACTTAGCCATTTTCAAGCATAACCAGTATAAATGTACAAGTGTTTGGGGTTAATTAATGGATACTACTTGACACTCTTTTTTTTAGCTCACCTCGACGAAGTCGAGATGAGCTTATGCTAAACCGTCGGCGTCGGCGTTAGCACGGCGTCCCAGGTTAAAGTTTTAGGAGCAAGTCCATTCCCAAGTAACTATAAGCCCTACCTGGATCAAACTTGCATGGATGATGCATCTAGGAAAGGACACTACCTGATTTGCTTCGGATGCTGGATCTGACCTATATTTTCCAGATGAGTGACCAGGTTAAAGTTTTTGGAGCAGGTCCATTTCACAGGAACTGTAAGCCCTATTTGGACCAAACTTGCATGGATGATGCATCGAGAGATGGACACTACCAGACTTGCTTCGGATGCTGGATCTGACCTACATTTTCATTCCCAAGTAACTATAAGCCCTACCTGAACCAAACTTGCATGGATGATGTATCAAGGGATGTACACTACCAGACTAGCTTCGGATGCTGGATCTGACATACATTTTCATTCCCAAGTAACTTTAAGTCCTATTTGGACCAAACTTGCATGGATGATGCATCTAGGGATGGACACTACCAGACTTGCTTCGGATGCTGGATCTGACCTACATTTTCATTCCCAAGTAACTATAAGCCCTACCTGAACCAAACTTGCATGGATGATGTATCCAGGGATGTACACTACCAGACTTTCTTCGGATGCTAGATCTGACCTACTTTTTCATTCCCAAGTAACTATAAGCCCTAGCTAAACCAAACTTGCATAGATGATGTATCAAGGGATGGACACTACCAGACTTGCTTCGGATGCTGGATCTGACCTACATTTTCATTCCCAAGTAACTATAAGCCCTAGCTAAACCAAACTTGCATGGATGATGTATCAAGGGATGGACACTACCAGACTTGCTTCGGATGCTGGATCTGACCTACATTTTCATTCCCAAGTAACTATAAGCCCTATTTGCACCAAACTTGCATGGATGATGATGCATCTAAGGATGGACACTATCAGACTGGCTTCGGTTGTTGGATCTGACCTATATTTTCTATCAAGAGACCAGGTTAAAGTTTTGGGAACAGATCAATCAGAATGAACTTGAAGTCCTTGATTACTGCAGTATTAACAGTTATGAATATTTGTTTACACTATACATGTTTTTCACGCTACACACGTAGAAATGTGTCTATGCCATGAAAGGGGTTCAACATAACTTGCAAGAATATTGTTGTTGGGATGAATACTAAATATTAAGAAAATATGATGTGAGATTTGCATTACTTAAACTGATAACATTCGTCGAGGTGAGCTTTGTAATCTTTGATTACCTATGTTTTTTAAACCCCCCGCAAACGAAGTTTGGGGGGGTATATAGGAATCACCTTGTCCGTCTGTCCGTCTGTCCGTCTGTCTGTCTGTCCGTCTGTCCGTCTGTCCGTCTAGCTGTCCGTCCGCCTGTTAGCTTTTGTCGTGTCCGGCTCATAACTTTAATACTATAAGGCCTAGAGTTATCAAACTTTGTCAGCTGAGACATCTTGGGTAGAAGGTGTGTCGCGCACAAAAAGTAGGTCGCTCTGACCTGTAATTAAAAAGTTATAGCCAAATATGGAAAAATCCTGTACGGTTCATAACTAGAAAACCATTAGACTTAGAATCATCAAACTTGGCCAGTTTGTGCATCTTAGGTAGAAGGTGTGTCGCGACCTATTTCAAGGTCACTGTGACCTTTAATTAGGGCCCCGCAAGGATTTGCGGGTGCCCTATAGTAATCACTCTGTCTGTCTGTCTGTCTGTCTGTCCGTCTGTCATTCTTCCGTCCACAAATTTCCTGTTTTTTCCTAATAACTTTTTTTATGGTAGCCCAATTAAGTTCAAATTTGGTATGGTAGTTCAGTAGGCAAAAAGACATATTTTGATGCTAAGTTTGTCTCTCTATGTCCTCTGGTTTGGACCTAGGGTGGTGGGGTAGATTCCTTAACTATGCATAAGAATGAATGGGCAACTTTTTTTTTATGGTTGCCCAATCAAGTAGAAATTTGGTATGGTAGTTCAGTAGGCAGAAATACACACTTTGATGCTAAGTTTGGTTCTCTATGTCCCCTGGTTTGGAGCTGGGGTGGTGGGGTAGATTCCTTAACTTTGTATATAAGAATGCATTGGCAAAGAGAGATAACTGCTGAAGATGTTCCCATTCAGTAAACTGAATGCTGCTATGAGTCCCTCGGGATTAATTAGCTTTCCTCCTGAAGAAAATCCAGAGCATTATCTTTATCTGTCACATTGAGATGAATTACCACCTCTGTCTGCAAATGAAGTTTGTTTTGAAGTTAAGTCAATTTGGAATGCTATGAACACTCTGAAATGTGGATTTGAATATAAAATTTTATAATTTATTTTTTTTTTGTTTTATATTTATGATTTCATTGAATTCTAAAAACAAGAAATAGATTAAAGAAGAGTTTTTGATTTCCTTTTTTTTCACTTTATGTTAATTCAAGAATATTATTAATTTTTTCACTTTATGTTAATTCAAGAATATTATTAATTTTTAAGGTAGTTGTATAAAAACCCCATTCTATCATTAATACTGAAAAAGTTCTTATTATAACTTTAGAAGAAAATGATGAGAGAGGTACAATTAATCCCTTGGGATTAATTATCTAGCCTGCTGCAGAAAATTTAGTAGGCTTTTCTTTATCTGTCACTTTAAAATTAATGAAAACATTTGTCTGCAACTGCTGTTTGTTTGAAGTTAAGGTCAAGCCTTCATGTAATATTTGCATCTTCATTGAAGGCTGGCATTTTATATAACACAAGCTTCATAATTGTTTAAATATATATTTAATGTTAAGTTGTTCTTTACTGCCTAATGTAAATACGAGGGTATTATTTTCAGGTTTTTGAATATTCAGGAATTATCTTGAAATTTTAAGAATACAGTTGCTGTTGCTTATTTTTCGTACATTTTTTAATCATTCTGTAAGCTGCACCCTTTTAATTCTACCCCATGGCGGGGCCCTTGCTGACTGGTCAGTTTT